CGTTTATTTTTTCATTCAACTTCATGCTGATTCCAGTTGATAATTCTTACTCATAAACAATTTTACAAGATGCAAAAATACTTAAGTTTGATATTTGGAACTGAAGCAACATCTTGAGCATTTGTTTGAACAATTGAACGAATTTTATGAATTTCCTTTGTTTTCAAGAGTAATTAATTACCCAACCGTTTCTATTCAGTCTGCATAATGATTATTTAAGTTTTAACAACTTTTATGTTGCTGTTAGAGAATTTATATGATATTTATATTTATACGATTCTCAATATAGTGAATGTTGCCTTTTTAATCTACTTACATGCTTTTTATGTTTCGGAGATTCACACAAAGCTACGTACACAAGAGCTATCTGAGGTAGAGGTAGCCATCCCTAATTATGAGCTGACAGACCAGAGGGGAAAAGTAGTCAACACAGTCCTGCACCATCAACTTTTACACTATTCTCATTGTTTGTTGTTGTTTTTTTTTAATTTCACGCAAAGCTACACGAGGGCTATCTGCGCTAACTGTTCTTAATTTAGCAGTGTAAGACTAGAAAGAAGGCAGCTAGTCATCACCACCCACCGCCAACTCTTGGGCTACTCTTTTACCAACGAATAGTGGGATTGACCATCACATTATAATGCCCCCCACGGCTGAAAGGGCGAGCATGTTTGGTGTGACGGGGATTCGAACCGTACGCTCATTGAATAATGGGATTGGATCTTGACTCTTACAAAGCACCAACATCTCCAAACTGTGGAACATGATTTTTCTTAGCTGTATCCAGTGTCTCTATACACTAGCCACTTAACCAGAGTCAGATCAGTAGTTACATGCAAAATTATACACCACTAAGTGAGATTTTCTAATTATCTCTCACTATCCAACCTTTAGTTAACTTATAATAACAGTAATACTGATATATATATATATAGATAAACCATTCAATTGATTGTTCATCAGCCATATGTGAAAAAATTAGATTTATTTTAACATTCAGTAACTACTTAAGTTGCATTACCAACAATAATTTTCTAATTTTAGTTCCCCAATGCACCTACCTTCACCCTCCTGAGTTAAAATTCCACATACCTTCACACTCCTGAGCTAAAATTCTACCTACCTTTACACTCCTGAGTTAAAATTCCACCTACTTTTCCACTACTGAGCTAAACTTCTACCTACCTTCACACTCCTGAGCTAAAATTCCACCTTCCTTCACACTCCTGAGCTAAAATTCCACCTACCTTTCCACTACTGAGCTAAAATTCCACCTACCTTCCCACTACTGAGCTAAAATTCCACCTACCTTTCCACTACTGAGTTAAATTCCACCTACATTTCCACCTATTTTCCACTACTGAGCTAAACTTCTACCTACCTTCACACTCCTGAGCTAAAATTCCACCTACCTTCCCATTACTGAGCTAAAATCCACTACTTTCATCTAGAGCTAAATTCACTACTTCCATTACTGAGCTAAATCCACTACTTTTACCACTTACTTGAGTCTTAAAATTCACTACCTTACAA